CCCACCCCCAACAAGGGGGCCCAAGGTGCTGAACACAGTGCAAAGAAGCAGCACAATAAAACAGCTCTGTAATAAAAAACAGAGATGAAAACATTTAAAAACAAAAAAAAAAGACATAAATAGCAATAAAAATATGGATTAAAAACATTAAAATGTGAATAGAAACTAAGAAACAGATCTAAAATAGTCACTTTGGACGGATATTTAAAACTTTGGGCATGTTTCCGTCACCCTCTGTGAGCCCATCGGAGAGCCCTTGCGCCGACGCATAACGGCGTTGCGTCACAGCTGAAACGTCTCCCTAGCCTTCATTAGTGTCTTCAGGAGCGATTCATCACTAAATTAAACACATCAGCTGTGCTCAGGATCCAAAACTTGCAGCAAAGCATGCTGGAACCAGACTGCAGCTCCAGGTATGTCCAACAGAGCGACCACCAGTCTGAAGCTGCAAGTGGAACATTCTGGCCCCAGGGGGCGATGGGGCCGGGTGGACTGTCATTAACCCTGTAAAGGGTCAATTTAGCACATACTGGCTCAGGAAAATAATTAAAACATATGAATAAAGTGGCTAAGTATCCCTTTAATAAATATTAATACAACTCTTAATTCTCTCCATCTGTCTTGTAATTTGAATAAAATCTTAGATTTTTTACAAATAGTCACTTGAAATTAAAGTTAGGTTACCTTTGGGTGTTTTACACAAATATCCAGCTCCTGGTGGCAGATACTCTAGGAATATGTACCATGTTTGACTTGTTGAAGTCTAACCTGTTAGACCTGTTAGGGTGTTAGTCTAACCCTAACCCTAACCCTTTCTTTTCCCAGATGGATGGTAACCGTCGTGGAAAATGTTCTAGGTAGAAATATGTAGCTGGAACCTGAAATAGACCCCATGCTTAAACCTTTAAACCTTACAGCGTAAGGTTCCTGCGGGTCCTTAAAAAGTCTTAAATTAGCTTTTCAAAATTTAAGGCCTTAAAAATGACAAATAATCCTTAAATACAGTTTCCAAAGGTCTTAAATTACCAGTCGCCCACTAAACAAGATTCTTTTATTTCTGTAAAAATTTTGTGAATTTCTAGTTGGTGTTCAGGATTTTTTGTGTACGATGTTGCCGTAAGCGGAACCGTACACATTCAGCTGGTTGTGAAAGGGGGCTATTTTTAGATGAGCACATTAGCTGGTTAAGCTAGTGGGAGCTTGCGCCATGGGGAAGTTTAATGGTAACTGGATGGCTAATCCCACGTTGGCGACGTGGTTAGCACCGGTTCCAGGCAATAGCTGGAAATTATAGCTTCAATTAAATTTTAAAAATAGCTTAAATTTGGTCAAAGTTGCCTTAAAAAAGCTCTTAAAAAGTCTTAAATTTGGCTCCCTTAAACCTGCAGATGCCCTGTCTTACTTTCAGTGTGAAATCTGATTTAGAGAGCTGATTATTAATGTGCTTGATTAGGATTATTTATCTTTAATTTTGTTAGCTACTTCAGCTTGAATGGCTGAATTATGGATGATATCAAATGTTGTGTCCAACTTTATTTAAATGGGAACATTTTTAATGCACTTCAGAATATCTTGAACAAAGGTTAAAATGATCTTTTGGCCGTTTTAAAAGCATTTTTCTATTAAATGTATGAGTTATTTCAGTGTTTCATGTGCAGGCAGATGAATCAGCTTATGCAGCCAGAGCAATCCCACCGTGTGCATAAACTCTAAATGTGTTGCTTCTTATTTTTCTGTCACTTTAATTCAAGAAATGTTTCCAGAACCATTTGGTTTCCATCTGCAGCCTCGACTCTTCCAAACCTTGTTCTCCTGCTTGGTCGTTAGTCAAAGTTGTACCTCGTTCCAGTCGCTAATCTGCAATTAGACATGATTGGTTCTAGTGAGAGGGTTGGAAATCGATCGGCTGTGCAGCTGCTGCAGCATAAACCCTGACACACACACACACACGTTAATGCACGCATACGGACCCACATCAGCCCTAACAGGCTCACGCGCTCTGTTCTCACACACAGGCTGAGGACGCTCACGGCTGCTGCTGAGATTGACACTCGGGTGTTGCAGACTCTTGAGCCACAAACTTTCTGCTAACATTTTCAAGCTTACACACACACACACACACACACACACACACACACACACACACACACACACACACACACACACACACACACACACACACACACACACGCACGCACGCACGCACGCACGCACGCACGCACACGCACGCACGCACGCACACACACACGCACACACATTTAACAGACCTAGAAACACACAACCAGGTGTCCTTAAAGAGCCATTTAGACCATATAGACCGGTGGTTTGTGTCTGGTGTTCATCACAATTTCAGACACGACACCGGGCGACCGTCTGAGTGGACTCTGGTGAGGAAGATGATGAGATGCTGCCTGAAGAAAAGAGGGGTGGTTGGTGCAGAGTACATGTGTAAGTGCATGTAACTCATCTGTGGTTTAAGTGTCCGTCTGGGCCCGTGTGTGTGTGTGTGTGTGTGTGTGTGTGTGTGTGTGTGTGTGTGTGTGTGTGTGTGTGTGTGTGATTCCTGTGTTGAGGAATACCTCCCAATAGGCAGAGTGGCGTTAAATATTTAAAGGCCAGACAGACTATGGTGTTGCCACAGTAATGCGTCTGTCTGATTGCACCTGAGACCAGCTCACACACACACACACACACACACACACACACACACACACACACACACACAGGTCTTTGTTGTCCCCTGAGCGTTTGTGTGTGTGTGTGTGTGTGTGTGTACTTCTAACATGTAATGGATTATTGAACAAGCGCTGCAGAGAAACTCCACACGCTGCGTGGTTTCCTCATGCGTGTGTACACACTGGAGCTTTGGCTGTCTGCGCAGTGTAAAAACAAACCTTCACCTGTGTCATGAAGTGCTGAAGATGTTTCCGCACACAAAGCAGCAACACTGGAAACACAATTATTAGGAAAATAGAGATTTTGACCTTTACCGACATTTATTTTTCTTTTTTTCCAACTCCAAAGCACATCAAATGAGTGCCTGTTGGATTAGCTTCTAGTGATATATATATATATTTGTATTCCAGAGAGGCGTTGACCTGAACCATTACCACTTTATCTGAGGTGTGAACAATAATTAAGCTACTTCGTTACGTCATTTAAAATGGACCAAGGAAGAGAATGAGTCGACAACGACAGGTCAGATATTTAAAAACGTCTTTTTGACAGATTTAACACTCGTCTCTGTCTGAAGAAAAGAGCCCATGGAGGCTAAAACATGCAAATGAACTGCAAAAAGGGAGAAAATTTGCACGCAACTCATTATCTTCCACTGATGGTTTCCAGAACCTCAACCTGCCTGATCTTTATAGAAGTCCAAGGTGTCAAAATCTCAGGGATATGGTCAAAGTAGACAGGTTGGAATAATCAGAGAATGAAGCTCTGGGACTAAGCAAAGACTTGCCTGAGGAATCATTTCCTACAGATATTTTTCTGTGTGTAGAAAGTGAGAGGGGCTTTTCATAGAGGAGGAGGTAAAGCGTCTGTAACTGAATCTGCTTCTGGCGGTTATTAAAGAGAAACGTGACTAAATAGCATCTCTGAATTTGTGAACCACCTTTTATTGTTCTCTGAAATGTAAAAATGAACACCTAAGCTAAAAAGCTATTTTTTAAAAATGAAGACGTAACAGGTGATGTGATGTTGCCATACAGCGAACCGAATCAAGTTTTAAACAGCAAATAAATAAAAGACCTGCTCCTCTAAAAGGTTCAAAGCATCAGCGTATCCGCGGGTCCTTAAAACGTCTTAGATTTGCTTTTCCAAATTTAAGGCCTTAAAAATGACAAATAATCCTTAAATACAGTTTCCAAAGGTCTTAAATGTCCAAAGACCCAATAAACAAGATTCTTTTATGTCTATAAAAATTCATACATTTCTAGTGAGTGTTCAGCGTTTTTTGTGTACGATGTTGCCGTAAGCGGAACCGTACACATTCAGTCGGTTGTGTTAGGGGGCTATTTTTAGATGAGCGCATTAGCTGGTTAAGCTAGTGGGAGTTTGCGCCATGGGGAAGTTTAATGGTAACTGGATGGCTAATCCCACGTTGGCGACGTGGTTAGCACCGGTTCCAGGCAAAAGCTGGAAATTATGACTTCAATTATATTTAAAAAAATTGCTTAAATTTGATCAAAATGGCCTTAAAAAGGCCTTAAAAAGGTCTTAAAAAGTCTTAAATTTGGCTCCCTTAAACCTGCAGATACCCCGTTAATGTTAGAGGAGCAGCGACATCCACAACACAGGAATCGCTCTAAATCAGCAGCTTACCCGTTTCTTTCTTAGTACCAGCAGGCTAAGAAGTAGATGGAGGCTTCCGAGGGAGCCCTGCGAGGGGGGGGGGGGGGGGGGGTCTGTTTGTCCTTGGCCCCCCAGATGCCTTGCAACGACCCTGATTTAAGAAGTCCCGGTATGCTGAGTCCATATTAATAAAGTAATTAGGGTAGAAACAGGATCTTTTTTCAGGATCCTCCTGCGTGTGTAGGTTAGGGCTTCCAGGGGAGCCGTCACCCTTTCAGGGAGCCAGGCTCCCCTTAGCTCCCCGTAATTCAAACCCTGGATTCTCTGTAGTTTGCATATAAGGAACGTACAGGGGTGTCACGAGGCTGTGTACGCTCACCTGTCCTGTACATTTTATGTACTAATGACGATCGCCTTAATAACAAGCAGCTTGTCAGGTTTGCTGATGATACTGCTCTGGCAGTTTGTTTGCTGGAGGAAATGAAGTAAGGAGAGCATCATCATCTGAAGATGACTGTTCACAACAAACAAAGGATGTGGTGATAGGCTTGAGGAGTAGCCATGACCTGGCCACTCCATCAACAATCCGGAGACTCACCGTCGACACTGTGGATAGTTGTGTGTATGTGGCTACGATCGTCAACAGTCTACTGAACAGAGGATATTAGAGGACTAAAGAATAATTAGAATATTTTTTCTTGCAGGTCTAAACTACAGAAAGCTGACTGATGAACTCTCAGATCCATTAGCCACTCTTCAACCAGTTCTGACCAATCAGAATGTGCTGTCCATCTCTAAGCTAGCCAATCGGCTTCCTTTACCTGGCGGGGGCGGGGCGACGGTCTCTCCTAGTGCGGTCCACTCAGCGTGGCTGCAGAAGCTGTTCTGGAAAGGAGACCCTCAGCTGCTGAAAAGACCCCCACAGAGTGATCAGGAGTACCTACACGCCTACGACACCTGCGCCAAATACCTGGACAGGCTGGTTCCTGCTGACGCCATCCGCTTCTTGGACAGCATCACTTTTTCTCCTGATGCAGCCGAACATGTAAGAAGCACAACAAGTTATCAGTGCATGCTAGACCACAGCGACACAGCATGGTGCACAAAATACCATTTTAACACACACACACACACACACACACACACACACACACACACACACACACACGCACGCACGCACGCACGCACGCACGCACGCACGCACACACACACACACACACACACACACACACACACACCACACGCACACGCACACGCACACGCGCACGCACGCGCGCGCACGCACGCACGCACGCACGCACGCACGCACACACACACACACACACACACACACACACACACACACACACCACACACACACTCACGCACACACTCACACACACACACACCACACACACACTCACGCACACACTCACACCACGCACGCACACACACCACACACACACACACACACACACACACACACACATACATACACACACACGCACGCACACACACCACACACACACACACACACGCACACACACACACACACACACACATACGCGCACACACACGCACGCACACACACACACACACACACACGCACGCACGCACGCACACACACACACACACACGCACACACACACACACACACACACACACTCACACACACACACACTGGTTGCTTTCAGGCAGGATTCATCCTGTGGAGGTGGAGAATCGGGATTTTCAGTCGTGACATCATCAAGTGGTTTTCTCACTTTCTGCTCTTGATCGCCGGGTCGGTCTTCTCGCGTAACTGAAACTTTTTTCTTCTGCTTAAATTGTCAAACTTGAGCCTCTCCAGATATTTCTGTTCTCATCCAGACTCCCTGGACTCAGAACACGTCGCAGTCCAGAATTATAAAAGAAATTATGAAATTACCCAAAAATGTCAGCGCCATAATTAAAGCGCCGTGAAAAACTGTCCTGCAGTAGAATGAACGTGCCTCGGTGCACCTTATCACTAGTAGCCTGCTGTTCTGTTTTCATGCTGGCACCCTACCAACTTCCCTTTCTGGACCTTTTTCTGTTTTTCTGATGTCCCGTCTCTTTCCCTGCAGCTCTCAGAGGTTTAATGGATCCTCTCTACTTCAGAGCCAATTAAACTCCAAATCCCAGCAGGCACCGTTCTCCCTTTGTGGTCTTTAACATGCAGATTACCTCTGAAACTCGCTGTCCTCTCCTTCTCCCCTCACGTTCTTCTAGCCTTTTTAAATCTTCAAAGAAAATAAAAGTCTCAGCCCCTCTCACTTTCAGGCCACCAGGTGACCTTTCAGGTCCTCATTGCTCCCTACGATGAAGCGTTATCGGTTTCTGGCGAGGCCAGGAGGTGAGATGGGTACCTGGAACTTGTCCTACTTCCTACTGGACACGATTTATGAAGGGTAACCTTCTCTTCCTGTCCGAGTTCACATGGACCTCTTTAATAGAAATACTTGTTTTTTCTCAAGATGCACTAAAAAAGTAAAATGTTTGATTGAATAAGTAGTTCATAACATGAGTAAACTGAGTTTATGTTTGGTTAGGGTTAGGATTAACCCTAGGTGGAGTCATTCTTTCTTGTTTTTGACAAAACAACATGAATCTCCTTCAGACTGGAACGTTTACGCCGTTCCCAAGTGACGTCGTCGTTTAGGAATAACGAGACATGTGTGTGTCTGCTGGTTCTTCACCCAGCTGTGTTGGTTGGCCTGGTTTTAATAACTTGGTGAACAGGCTAAGTAATAAATGTGCTCCACCGCCTAACCAAGTACAGCAGCTGAATGCTTTCATGCATCTAGGTGTGTGAAAGACTGGCTGCTCAGGTTAAAACTGAGTTTTACAATCACACCATGTTTAGTTTTGACTATTAATGTCTGGAAATATCCGTCCAAACGTTGAAAAGGAATCAAATGATGTCCTGTTGCTGAAAAATGTTGGCAGCTTTGTAACATATAACCATAAAACCGGGTCTAGAGTACATAGGGCGTGGATCTGGAGTTTCTGGAGGACGCCAACGCCTCGTTTCCTTCTGCGCCTGCCGATGATGTCATGCTAGATGATTGGCTGGATGTGAGTTACGTCAACACGTTCAAAAACATTTAGGCAGACAGAAACTTTAGTTTCATACCAAACTGCTAAACTCCTTCCAAAACACATCTGGAAGAACAGAATCACAAAAGAGGTGTGTTATATTTTGGCCCAGCGGTATTGCTGTAGTAGGATGATGTCATTGTCAGGGGCCGGACCCCGAGCAGAACCAGAAGTTACAGCGTGTCGTTTAACCCGCTACCGGACCCACATACACAGCTTCATGAACAGCTGACACACAGGTGCCGCGTAGCTGCCGCGCAGGCAGGAGCTCACCCAGCTCTTCCAGCCTCTGCTCCACACCTGCAGCCCGTCCTTCATAATCAGCCGGTGGCTGGTTGCTAGTCGCTGCCAGGTGTGCGCCGGTGGGCTCCAGCAGCCCCACCTGTGTGCACACCCATATTCCTCCACCACTTGTTCCAGGCCGGGATCATCCTCAGTCTGGCCGACTCCCCCTCCTCCCCCTCCTGCGTCTGACCAGCTGGGCTCGCCGCGCTGGTCGGGTCCAGCTGTCTGCCTTCACGACACCCTCACACTCTGCTGGTGTAGGTTCTCAGTCGTCCAGGCCAAGGCAAGCCAAAGGGTTCACATGAAGGCAACAGGACTTCTTTGGTTTCTTGGAGACGTTTCGCTTCTCATCTGAGGAGCTTGTTATAAGCATGACTCCAATATTCCCCACAAAGCTCCTCGGATGGGAAGTGAAACGTCTTCAAGGCGAGCAGCACATTTCAAACACAGGCAGTTAAATGTGCTTTACAATTTCAAGAAACCAAAGAAGCCTCGTTGCCTTCATTGGAACCCTTTGGATCCTCACGCTCGTTTTCCATCCATCCAGCTCCCCATCCTGGGACATCATTCCTTGTCCTTGGCTGCAGACCGGCTGCACACACATCCCATCAGCCTTATCTGCTCCGCTGGGGTCGCAGGATTGATTCCGGGAGTCCTGCTGTGCCGCTGGGTGGGTCAAAGTCCACGCGTTGCAGGAATTGGTTGTTCTCAGGAGTTCCTCTGTGCCGCCGCGGCACGCTTCCAGGGATGTCGTCCGTCAAAGGCCGATGAGTGGACGGGTCTCCTGGCTAGCATGTGACCCAGCACCCATGCTCCAGGATCCGGCTGCATTTAGTGATCACAGTGGACCCATGTTCTTATGGCTACTTGCAGCAGGACATCATGCACCGTGTCTCAAAGCTCAGATCATGTCTAACTGGCTTCTTGAACATGACCATGCTTTTTTTCTCCATAACTGGTGAATCTGCAAATTTACACATTCTCTGTTTTCCATATGTTGTTTTGTTTATATATATATATACATATATATATACATATATATATATACATATATATGTGTATATATATATATATATATATATATATATATATATATATGTATGTATGTTTTCCATATGTTGTTTTGTTTATATATATATATATATATATATATATATATATATATATATATATATATATATATATATATATAAACAAAACAACATATGGAAAACATACATACATATATATATATATATATATATATATATATATATATATGTATATATATACATATATATATACATATATATGTATATATATGTATATACATATATATATATATATATATATATATATATATATATATATATATATATAAATAAATAAACAAAACAACATATGGAAAACATACATATATATATATATATATATATATATATATATATATATATACATATATATATATATATACACATATATATGTATATATATATATATATATATATATATATATACATATATATATATATATATATATATATGTTTTTCATATGTTGTTTGTTTAATTTAAGGTTGAAAGAAAATTAAATGAATAAGAGGTAAAACCTGGGGAAGGGACACATCTGCCTACTCCTTTTCAAACAAATAATGGAATTATATTTAGTAATGATACATGTGTGAAATGTCTGAAACAAAAATGAAATGAACTGAACTGAACAATGAATTCCCTGCACACCAAAGGCCTCCACCCTCACTAGATCTTGATGTGGTTCTGAACCTCTAGGATGTGATGGAGCAGGGGATTCTCATCAAGAACGTCGTGTCAATGGCGACGTTTACACAATAAAAGCTCTATTCCGCTTCACCAGCAACTCTTCCACTTCTTCATATGCCGGTTATTTGGTCACATCTAGTAATTTCGGTAACACTTCCTTTTACAGTCCCATAATTACTAAGTACTTACATGGTAATTACATAGTAAGTTACAGTGTATTATTATTTATGAGTTCTTAAACAGTTATTACCATGTAACTCAGGTTCAGTTCTAGTTTTTTTTTTATTAATCGTTCCCAGTAAATACTGCTTTACACAATAATTACACTTTATTACATTTATACACTTTAATTACACAGTAATACACTGTAACTTACTATGTAATTACCATGTAAGTACTTGGTTATTAGGGGACTGTAAAAGGAAGTGTTACCGTAATTTTACACCAACAGCCAATCTGCATGAGTTAAAGAACAAGTCACCTCCAGATCAACTTTTTTGCAGATAAACTACATAAATGAGTGTCTAATCACGCTGTAGACACATTCAGTTAATAATTTGGCACTTTAGTGCATCTTAGTTAAAATTGAAATATTCTGCCTAATGGGCTCGACACACGGGAGGCGACATCGCCTCTCCTCCATTCATGTTCAATGAGACATGCGCGACAAAGCGATAATCGCGGGTCTCCCTCCTACTAAGCGAAACGCGAAAAACGTGAGTGTGAAATTTTGTGCTCATGCACGTGTCGTGCACGGACGACCCAGCGACGCGATCCCACAAAGTTGAAACATTTTCAACTTTTCATCGCTGTCGCTCGGACGAGGACCAATCAACGGAGGTTTCATTCACTGACCAATGAGCGGACAGGATGCTCCGTACATCTCCGAGCAAACATGGAGGAGAAGTTGATTATTATTATGTTTTATAGTAAAATCAGAAGTAAGATTTCACATAACTCTAGCAGCACCTTGTGAAACATCATATCTACCGCTTTATTAACTCTGAACCACTTAAATAACCTTAATTCCCTCCAACCTGACACAGCCAAGCAAAACAACGGAAGTTTCGATTTCGCCATGGAACAGAACGTGTAGACGGCTTTGCCGCTGGCCGCTGCCGCGGATCGCCTCCCGTGTGTCAGGTAATAAAAGCAACAATGACAAATTTCACTGATCCCGGTCGTTTGTCGCTAGGGATGCACCGATCAGGTTTTTTGCTGCCGATCACCGATACCGATATCAAAGAATGCTGATCACCGATACCGATCACGTGGATTGGCCAGAAATTTTCTACAACATTATAATGAGTGCTACAAACTACATAATCTGGGAATAAAGGAAATGTAACCTAATCTAAAATGGTCTGTATTAGGGTTGTCACGGTGTGAAAATTTAACCTCACGGTTATTTTGACCAAAATTACCACGGTTTTC